TGGTGAAACCCCGTCTCTACTAAAAATACAAAAAAATTAGCCGGGCATGGTGGCATGTGCCTGTAATCCGAGCTACTTAGGAGGCTGAGGCGGGAGAATTGCCTGAACCCAGGAGGCGGAGGTTGCGGTGAGCCGGATAGAGCCATTGCACTCCAGCCTGGGTAACAAGAGCGAAACTCCGTCTCAAAAAAAAAAAAAAAAAAAAATGCATTAAACTCAAAGTAGAAGGGAAAAAACAGTAAAAATTCAATAAAATTGAAACAAATATACAATTGAAGAAAATCAAACTAAAAGTGTTTTTAAAAAGATTAATGCAATTGATAATCTTCTAGCAAAACTATTCAAGAAGATCAAAAGATAATATAAATTAACAGAACAATGAATGAGGAAGAGGCCAACCCTGTATACCTCACAGACATTAAAAATTCTAAGAGGATATTATGAATAACTTCAAATCAATTATATCAATTTGAAAATGTATAAGAAATGGTAAAATTCTTTTAAAAAATTACTCACCAAAACTAACACAAAAAGGATGGAAACATCTGAATATCTGATACTTGCTAAAGAAATGTAATCTATAGTTAAAAATCATCCCATTGCAGGCACATTTTTAAATTGTCTTTTTCTTATGGGTTTTTAAGAATTCATTGTATTTTATGGGTAAGAGTTGTCTGTCAGATATTTATAATTTAAATATCTTTTCCCACTCTGTGCTCCTTTTTTTGTTTTTTTTAACTCTTTTAAATGCTGACAGCTCATCCCCTGAAACAGGAAAGAAGGTAGAGTATATAGGCATTAACATAATTAGGTTGGTCAGTTTGGTAGTGAGAAAACGAATTTCTTCCCTTCTAATTGTATTGTTTTTCATTTCTGCATAAAGTATGGATAGTATTGTAATGTAAATTATTGGGAGGATTACTTATCTTCTTAATGTATATAAAGCTCTTAAAACAGGGCTTAGGACATATTAATTATATTTTTAAATGTTGACTACTTTTACTTATTTATTTTTTCATAAATCTTCATTTTATGGATCACCATTATAAACTGAAAAGGTCTAAATTCCTAAACCTTGTTTTTAGTTGTTCTGCTTCTTGGCCCAAACAACCTTTATAAGTCTGTTTATCTTCTGTTGTAGTAAAAGTTCCTTTGTTAAATAAAAGAAACTGTTAAAATTAGCACAACTTATCCTCACTATGTAACAGAATTCCATACACATTCAAATACAGGAAACTAAACACAGCTCAGTTTTGTATGGACTGAAATTAATAAATCAGGAAGGAAGACTTTCCCTGCGTTTCTTATCTAGTAACAGCATAGTCTCCTGTGCTGAATTTTCTCTGGAGAGCAACTTTCCTGACTTCATTGGTGAAATTGTAGCCTTTTGATTCAAGACACCACTACTAGTTTCTGTGTCTTTTAGATAAAATTTCAAGAGAGAATTTTGAGACTACTGGCCAGCCAGTGACTTGCCTCTTCCTTCCTCTGTTGCAGTCAGCCACAGCTAACTGTACGTTCCCCTAGGCTTACTCAGAATGGACAATGGACTGAGCACAGGGCAAGCTAAAAGGGATGTTGAGCTTGGTAGGCAAATTGACTGGCATGCTAAACACACCAATATCATTCATTTTCTTCCCAGTAGTAGTACTGCTGCCTCTAGTCTGACAGATTTTAACCACTGCCTAGATTGACTCCTTCGTGACCTTTCATATCTAAGAGTTTGGTGCATTCACTAGACTTGTAGGTGTTTCTAGAGTACGTTTTTTTTTCCCTGTTCTGGTAGTTGACAATCACATACATTGATTAGCATCACCTTTATTTGCAACTGCCATTGCAGTGTTTTGATTTTGTATGTATTGTCTCGATGAAGTTTTTTGGAGATTTGTGAGTTGAGTGAAAATGAAAAAATTGAATTATAAAATTTTCACTACAAATATGATTCTTATATTCTGTCATTCTAAATAGAAAGTCCATAAGAAAATTAATTGTATTTAGTAAGAATTGTCTGTTTCTGTGATTCTGTGCTAGATTATATTGGCTTCTGTTTTTGTTGTTGTTATTTGTTTTTCTAGCTTAAATATTTCATAATAGTTTATAGAATTCTCTGGGTGCACCAAATTCAATAGCTCATGATTTGGTTTCATGATAAATCGTGAAATTTGAATTTTATTCCTAGTTGTATAAAACCTCCCACAGGAAGGATAGGATTGAAAATTTTCTTAAGTAGTGTTAGACTGATTATTTTTATTAATGAGTGAGAAGTCTGTTTTTAATTATTTATAAGAGGGCTCATTTTAGTTAGCATGTTGACGTGGGGTTTTGAAGTAGAGAGTTTTGTCTTATATAATTACATTAGGTAATTCAAAAGAATCTCTAACCCAGGTAACTCAGTATTGATGTTCTGTCCCTTCAGAGGATAGAAAGTTAGTTTGACATGCTGTACCCTACATCTTCAGAGAAACAAAGTATATACTGTAGGTAATCAAAATTTACCTATTTTTATCTACTTAAATATTTTTCCTAGTCATTATCAAATGTATATTTTGAATGGCTGTTCTTTACATATTAAAATATTTATATTTTTGATGGCACAGTGGCAAAATATTTTTTTTAAATTTTTTTTATATTTGATTCTTTCTTCTTCCTTTTAGGGTAGAGCCTGGATCAGAGTAGCACTCATGGAAAAACATTTATCTGAATACATCTCTACAGCTCTGAGAGACTTCAAAACAACCAGGTTTAAAAGTCCTTTTAATTCTCTAATATATATTTGAAAGAATCATCTAAAAACTTAGAAATCAGAATAGGATGAAGAATCAACTTCTAAAGTCCTCAATCATTTTATTTCCTCCTTTTCTTACTCCTCTGATAAATCTACTGTCTTCTTAGGAAAATGTAATTTGTCAATTAAACATCTATCTACCTTTCTGTAAAAAGATGTACAGTATGCCGGGAATATCCTTTCTCTAAATAATTTCTGATTCATACTCTTTCAACTCTTGAAGCTTCATTCAACCCATAGACTGTTCCCTGATGGATTTGAAGATTTAACTATGAAATTTCAATAGAATCTCTTCTCTTTTCACCACCACAATGTTTGCTTATGTTTTTGCCTTCAAATAATATAAATTAATACTTTTACTTCTTTAATTCATATGTATCATTAATGATTGCTTGTCTTTTTAGGACAATCTAAACCATTGTTTTTCTTGGATTGTATAAAGACATCCTGTGCCATGTGAAAAATAGGACTTTGTTAATTTTTTATGATGGTAGAAAAAAGGTACATATTAGGACAACAGTCATTCCTAATTAGTGCTCATCTGCTGATCTTTATTTGTAGCTGTTGAAGAAGCCACTTTTCTCCATATCAAAAGTATTTGTAAAAGAAAAGGTTTAATAATTTTAATAACTTAAACTGTTTAGTGTAGTAGCCACTAACACAAGCCATATGTAAATTAAAATTACTATCACATAAAATTACAAATTTAGCTTATTAAATACTATATCACATTTCAGATATCCCATGGCTACATGTAGCTAATGGTTATACAACTGGACAAATTTAGAGTGTTTTCCTCATCACAATAGGTTCTACTGGGCGAAGCTGCCTGAAATATTTCTAAATTACCGTTCTTTTTACAATCTCATTAATCATATTTCTGAAAGAAAAGGAAATGCTTACAACTATGAACTACTTTCGAAAGAAAAACATAAGCACAAACAAGTCCCATTTTTGAGATCTTAACTTCCCTATCCTCGAACTTCTGACCTCAGGTGATCCGCCCGCCTCAGCCTCCCAAAGTGCTGGATTACAGGCATGAGCCGCTGCACCCGGCTAACTTCCATATCCTAATGCAGTGTTTGACATTCTGGATTTTGAGAAAATCTGGGCATTAATTATGCACATTCTTTCAATTAACTAGCTGGTACTAATTAAGTATCTTCATTTAGTTGCCTCTATCTTTATTGGTAATATAATTGTAAACTTTTAATTTTGAGATACAAAGAATTGTCATAATTATAAGTTGGACCAGGATAGAAAGACTTTTAGCTAAAAGAAATATTTGCATAAAGTAAATCTGATATATACTTAATGAATTATTTTCAAGCAACATGACACTCTTGAGATATTTCTAAAGATAGTGAGATAATGATAAACTCTAAGATATTTGAAATTCACTTTATAATGTAAAACAATTGTTTATCATTAGTACTAAGTTTCATTATGAAAGATATTAAGTATTGAGGATACTAAGGCTTTGAAAATGAAATCAAAGAATAGTATCAGAATCTAGTAACTCAAATCTAAAAATCCTGTATTAATGAAATCAAAATCGTTTGCGTAGTAGTCATTTCCTATGCAATTACCATACTGAATCAAAGTTATGATAGTCTTTTCCAAATTAAAATTAAATCATTAATAATCTCTCTAAATTGTTAGTCTTGTTTCTAAGTTTAAATGATCAGGAGGGGTAGAAAGAATTCTTGAATAGATTATTTTTAGAAAAAGTAGTTTAAATATTTAAAGGGAGATGCTTTCTGCCTTATTCTTAAGTGTTAACCATGCTTTTTCATAGAAAGGAAATGATTCAGCTCTAAAAAAGTACATGAAGTAAAAATATTCTTGTAACAATACATAAACATACACTCTTCAAACAGAAACAAGGCTTACTGTACAATGTTCCTATATATGTATCTATACATACACATTTATTGAATAATAGGATTTAAATGTGAATACAATGGCTTTGTAGCTCTTAAGAAAGGAAGTAGGGATTTACTTCAGAGTTTTTATCTTACAAGTTAACTAAAAAATGTGGAGAAAAAATCTTTTTTTCCCCTATTTATACTATTTTTTTTTACTGAGATGAAACCAAGGAAACTTCTTAATTTCAATTAAATTTGATTGCAAACTTCTAGTCAAGACAAATATATTCATAAGATTAGATTTGTAAAATACAAACAAACAATTAGAAAGAGTATTTGTACCTTACCTTTTATCTGGATTCTTCCTGAAGTAAGTACTCCTAGAAGAATGAGAAATTTTCTCTAATCTTTAGGAATCTAGAGACTATCAAAATAAAGTAAGTCTCTTCATGTTCTACTCATCATAATGATAGCCTTTAAAATGGTAATACAGGTGTTTACCCCAGTACCGGAGGAGGAGCTACATGAACTAAGGCAGGCAAGCAGGCTTGAAAGCACTAATCAGTGAAAACCCAAGGAAAAATTTGGGTGGAGGAAAGGTGGGAGTAGAGATAAAATAAATTTTGAGCGCATGACTATGCTCCAAAGCACTGAGGAAATTCATGTGATCCTTTTGCTAAGGTGTAGGACATCTTAATGAGCAGTTGAAAAAACAAACAAAAACTGTGAAGCCTTACATGGCTTAGGGATTGGGTTATAATTGGAAAATAGCCAGAGTTGGGAAGTTGGCAGAGTGATGATTAGAATCTAAGCTAAAAAAAAAAAAAAAAAAGGAGAGAGAGACTTGTTTTAGTAGGTTACTGGGAAGACCTTCAAATAAGAAGTGAAGTAAAACCTGAATTAACTTGTTCAATTTTTGGTTTCTCTTTACCCACAGACTAAAAATTAATTAGCAAATTTAAGTTAAAAATACCCGCGTGATATTCCAAACAAAATTGAAAATTTAACAAGAATTTGAAGTAATAATTATGGAAAAGAGTAAAGATAAATTCGCTTTATGGAAACTCATTTTTTTACTTTGCAATTATATCACAGTAATTTATAATAAAAAAGCTGTGTTCCAAAGAAATGTTAATTTTCACAATGTTTTAGCACATTTGAAGGAAGGAGTAAAGTATAAAATATTGTAAATTACTGATCTGTCACAAAGAAAAAATGAGTTGACAAACACTTTTATCAATTATAGAAAAGTAGACAGAATAGTAATTAGTAACCAAAATCTTTTAAGAGATAAGAATGCATTTTGGAATCAAATACGTGTTAAAGTTTTACATTATTAAGATAGAAGGTAAACATTATTAAAAGGTGCTTGTGAACTGCTACCTCACAGCACATACAAAAACTCCAAATTAATCAGACTTAAATGTAAAACCCTTAGAAGAAAACATAGATGTAAATCTATGTTTGGATTAGATGATAGTTTCCTAAGTATGATACCAAATGTAAAAAGAACAACAGAAAAAAGATATAATGAACATAATAAAAATTAAAACTTTGTGCAAGGACACCATGAAGAAGGTGAAAAGATGACCAACAGAATGGGAGACAATTTTTACAGATCATTATTTGATAAGGCAGTGGTCCTCAACCTTTTTTGCACCAGGGACTGGTTTTGTGGAATACAGTGTTTCCACAGACCTTGGTGGCTGGGCAGGTTTCAAGATGAAACTGTTCCACCTCAGATCATCAGGCATTAATTAGAGTGTCATAAGGAGCATGCAACCTAGATCCTTCACATGTACAGTTCACAATAGAGTTCTTACTCCTATGAGAATCTAATGCCTGATAGACAGGAGGCAGAGCTCAGATGATAGTGTGCACTGGCCCACCACTCACCTTCTGCTGTGCGGCTCCAGTTCCTAATAGGCCATGGACAGGTACTGGTTCATGGCCCAGGAGTTGGGGACCTCTGTGATAAGGGTTTTGTATCTACAATGTATATAAAGAACTTTTACAACTCAGTAATAAAAAGACAATTCATTTAAAAACGGGCAATGAATCTGAATAGACACTTATCCAAAGAAGATATACAGATGTCTAATAAACACTAAAATGTTGCTTGACAACATTAGCCATGGGAAATGCAAAACCACAATGAAATATCACTGCATACTAACTAGGATGGGTATGTTCAAAAAATCACTTAATAACAAATCTTAGTGAGGATTTTGAAAAACTGAATCTCCTATGTGTTGCTGGTAGGAAAAGAACATTGTGCAGCCACTTTGAAAAGAGTCTGGCAATTTTTCAAAAGGTTAAACATAGAGTTACCATATGACCCAGCTCATGACTCCTAAGTGTATGTGTGGCTATATCCATATAGTGGGATATTATTCGGCCATAAAAAAGAAATGAAGTATTGATCCATGCTGCCGCACGAATGAACCTTGAAAATCTGCTAAGCTGAGCAAAAAAGCCAGTCACAAAAGACCAGATAGCATATGATTCCCCTCTTCCTTTAGTTACCAAATCTCTGTCTCCTCATCTTCAATCTCTTTACTACTGCTGGATCAATCCCAGCCTTACAGAACATTTGCTCATACCTCCTACCTTAAAAAGAAAAATATTCTCCATTGAACCTATAGTCCCCTCTGCTACTGCTCATTTCCTAATTCTGCTTCATCACCAGACTTCTCCAAAGCACTTCTTCACACTGTCATCATTTTCTTATTTTAGAGTCACCCTCTTATCCACTCTTGTCTGGCTTCTGCCCCTCACCACTCCACCAAGAATTTTTAAAAGAATACTGATAATCTCCAAGCTACCCAATGTAATGGATGTTTCTCTGTTGACATTGTACTCCATTGCCCAGCTACTCCCAGTATAAGTTGACTACTTCTTCATTCTTGAAAAATCTCTTCACTCTTAAATTACACAACATTCCATGGCTTTTCCTTAATTGCTCTGTCTCTTGTTCTGTCATCTTTTCCACTTAACAACATCTGACTATCCGTATTCTCTGGGCTCAGTCCTACATTGTTTGCTGTTTTTCCTCTGTTCATTTTTCTCTCTTTTCTCTCTTCCTGGAGTTTCATCCATTCCCTGGTTTGAAATACCATCTATATGATCATGATACCACATTTAAACCTCTAGCTAGATAGTTCAGATATACTGATTTTTCCCCTGTAACTCTGTTCACCCCTACTTAGCAAATGATATCACTGCCTACCTACATAGTTGATTGAGAATCCAAAAATCATACCTGATTCCTTGTTCCCCTCATACCCTGCAATCAATCCATAAACAGGTCTTATTGATCCTGCCTCCAAAATCTATTTTGAATCTACTTATTTACCTTAAAAGTAAAGAGATTATGTCAACTCCCACTTAAAACATTGAAATGATACCTTATTGCACTAACCAGAAGGCTCTGTTGCTGTCACGTTTCCTGGAGTCAAATCCTGGCTTCCCTACTCTAGCTGCGTCTATCTTGAGCAAATTGCTTAATCTCTCTGGAGAATAATAGTAGCAAAGTTAAGAAGATGATTCATATAAAGTTATTACTATGCCACTCAGTGAGTGTTCATTATTATTATTAGTGTTATATGGCCTATGGATCCCTGTGTGATTGGACTTCTGTGAGCTAGGGTGTCAGGTTAAACACTTGAGAATGCCTTACTTAATGACTTTCCAAAACTGGGCCTTCCTTCCGTTTATCTCTACTTCAACAACCTGTTTATTTACTTTATATTTATCATCATCTGTAATTATCTTTTTCTCTTGTTTCTTGCTTTTCTATTCCCCTAGACTATATGCTCCATAGAGAGGATCTAAATCTAACTTATTTACCATTGTAAGTATAGTACCTAGCACAGTTCCTGTCACATAAGAGGAATTTGATATGTATTTGTTGATTAAAATAATTACTGAATCTCACATTCTTGGAAAGACCTTTGGAAGTTGACTTTTTCACCAGTTTTTCATTTTTGTTCAATTTGACTTTGAATATGACATCTATTTATAATGCAAGAATCTGTCTTACATGTCATGAGGGATAATTTTCTTATATCCCCTCCTAGTAGTTTCTTACATTAAATTGGGGAAGAGAACAAGCACGCCAATAATGAAATTTCTTTGGCTTATAAGACAAGTTTTCTCATATTTTAATATTGCACTTTCAAGTGCATAGAATAACCTCTGACTCCCACAAAAGGAAAATTTGAAACATGACATTAGGTATTATCAGCATAATTTGTATTTATTGTTCACCTTAGATCACATCCAAAGGGTATTTGTTATTGAACTACTTAAAATGCCTTAAAGTATTCTTACAGAATGGACACTAAGGTGGCGTTATAGGAATGTATTTCAATTAGAGTTAAATTATGTGTGGTAAAAGAAAAGCATATTCTTATAAGGACATTATTTTAAATACATTTCTAGTCACTAATACTTTTCTAATCAACGTATACATGCTTGGTAAGGGTGGAATACCTAATAAGATCAGGAAGGTTTTTTTCCCAGATCACAGTAATATCAAATAGTTGCTTGTAATTTTTCCACATTTCTGAAATGTAAAATTATATTTAATGATATAGTCTTTAGAATATAAATCTTTAAATGGAAGTTTCAGATATATTTTTTACTTTGGTACTTTCAATATTTATAATATGTTGAAAGTAAGCAGTACAATATTTTGGTTAGATTCTCTCTCTCTCTCTCTCTCTCTCTCTCTCTCTCTGTCTCTCTGTCTCTTTCTCTCTCTCTGTCTCTCTCTGTCTCTCTCTGTCTCTCTCTCTCTCTCTCTCTCTCTGTGTGTGTGTGTGTGTGTGTGTATGTGTGTGTGTGTGTGAATGTGTGTATGTATATATATATATATTTAGAAAGGGTTTTGCTCTGTCACCCAGGCTGGAGTGCAGTGGGGCCATCTCAGCTCACTGCAACCTCTGCCTGACTCAAGCAATCTTTCCACCTCAGTCTCTCCACCTCAGTCTCCCAAGTAGCTGGGACTGCAAGCAAGGGCCACCAGATCCAGCTAATTTTTTAAATTTTTTGTAGCCATGTTGCCCGGGCTGATTTCTAACTCCTGTTGCTCAAAGGATCTGCCTGTTACAGCCTCCAAGAGTTCTGGGATTACAGGCATAAGCCACCAGGCCTGGCATAAAAATATTTTCTTTAGATCAAAAAGTATTTTTAACTAAAAAAAGGGAATTTTTTTTTTTAGTATATACCTGACTATTATTGGATTAGTCATCTCTGGCTTTACTCATGGCTCATTTATTGTATAACCTTGGTTATGTAAGTAAAGATTAATGTTCTAATTTTTCAGTGAGGTAAAATGAAAGGGTTGAAATTTTACAATCTTTTGGAATCTTTGAAAGTACTGACCACAGGAATCAGACTTTTAGTCAAATTATTAGTATATTAGTTTGTATAAGAGAATAAATTAATTTTTCAAGACATCTACCTCTTTCATACACATGAAGTCTTTGATTAAATAAAAATATAGTCTTCTCAGATCAGTTCAGTTTTCTAAATACTGAATTATTTTAAAATATATTATCTCAAACTTAGAAGTACATTTT